GAGATTTGGGTATGGAGGAAAATAGAGAGGGTTGTGTTTTCTGACACTTGGTGAGTTCCCTGGAACACCGGGGACACATATTCATGTAGAAAAGACGTACAAATGTGCATTTTGCATGATAGGTCACCTTTTAATGCATTTTTTCTACTCATTCTTAAAACAAAAATCTTCTCAGACACAATACAAACCAGAAGGGGTTTACTGAAAATGGAGAACATTATGTAGGCAAAAATCCCTCCTTTCATCAATGTTTGTAGCCGGGCAAATTTTGTGCATGAACATATGAAATCACTGAAGTAGAACATTATAGACTAGCTTCACTGTGGCCACAGTTGTTCTGGAGCCCTGCAGCCTCAACGGCCTATTTCAAGACTATCTATCACAACCTTTTATGTTTTGGTTTTAGTAAAGTATATTTGTTCTGTGATGTGGTCGAATGGATCAAAACGTCTTTGATACACATTTGACCTAGAGTCTATTCTGTTGTAGATTTGGATTTGTGTTGCAATATCAAAGTTGCGCTAAGACTTTCTTCCTCTCCATTCAATTCCTGTCTTTTCACTTATTTCCTTAAACTCGCATCCGTCAAGCGAATGCATAATTCATGCTGTGCTGGATCAGGCTATGATATCTCTTAAACTTTCTCTCTTTGTCTCCCCTTGTGTCCCTGTAGCTGCCCATGTGCTGGTTCCTCAGGCCCACCCATTACGGCAGATGAATCCTCAGCTGCTTTGGTGTAGCTCAGCACCCAGATAGTCCCATCCCCTCTGCGTGGGTGAGAAGGGACTACATTACCAATGATGCCCGCCTCTATACGGGCAGGGAGCCTGAAGGACCCAGATGTGGCTGAGCTTTTCTTCAAAGAAGATCCAGAGAAGCTTTACTCTGACCTCCGAGAGATTGGCCATGGCAGCTTTGGCGCTGTCTACTTTGTACGGAAACTACATCTTCACACTGACTCATACACAGAGAAATATCCTTTATAGGGTTATTACCGATTATAGATGATCAGGGATATAAATGATAGTAAATGCAGTTTCTTCACTAGAGATCTTTTCACAATTATAAAAGATGAAGCTATTTAATTACTGAATGGATTTGAAAATGTTTATAATGGAGTTAAATATCACACATGTTCAGAGTAATGTGTCTTACCATAGCGTTCTGATCTGACTTTAGTTCTTTAACACTGCACACAATACGGTTTAAAAAGTACAGGAGGTCTTGATAATGCACATCCTTGATGACAGGAACATTTAAACAGATTAAAAGTATATTATGTTACGGTTGATATGTGTAATGACAATGTTCTTTGTGTTTCCCAGGCACGGGACATACGCACAAATGAAGTGGTGGCAATTAAAAAGATGTCCTACAATGGCAAACAGTCTAATGAGGTGAGACCAGCTTGATTATATTTATATATAACTCTAGACCCTTAGTATAAAGGCTTTCACACAGTATGGGGGTCAATCAGCATGAACTCGTTATTCTTTACTCAGTCGTTCTCTTATTAAAGTGGCCTTCATTAAATTAATTATTATTTATATATACCATGACTTCTGTGCACTTGAACACACCTCAGATCAACGTGGCTGCTCTCTGTGCTACATTCAAACAGTACAAGATCTTAATATATATCCTCATAATGAATGATGGCAACAAACGGGAGTGCTGATATCCCCAATGAATATTCATGTCAGACAGTCAGAGGGGGAAAGGTCACCCTTGTGCGCTCACTTTCACTGTTGTTGCCTCAGACACAGTTCCCCCTGCTCATGATTTCAGATTAGCTGTAATCAGATTACACATAATCTGTGACGAGAACCACCGTACACCTATTTCTACTGAAAGACAATCTTCTACAAGGGCGCATGCAAGCACCTCTACAGTATTAAGCATTGCTTGTTTTATTATTAAGTCCCTTCTTTCTTTCAACAGAAATGGCAGGACATTATAAAGGAGGTGAAGTTCCTGCAGAGGATCCGGCACCCTAACAGTATAGAATACAAAGGTTGTTACCTCCGAGAGCACACGGCATGGGTGAGTAATTGGTTTATCATTATTTACTACGAGAAGATTAGACAGGTGTATATCTGGCACACTTTTGTACCAGAACATCTCCATATCAGATCTACACCTGATATGTTATGATAAACTAAAGCAAGGCAACACACAGATAAATAAATCCTCGTTTTTGTTGTGTTTGCCACAGTCTTGACTCTTGGGAGGGACAATTAAGTGAGATTCAACTCTTCTTTGTTTGGTGGGGAAGGGGAGATGTGTCCTCTACTGAGCGCACTCTTCTGGACACATATAGTGTGCAATGTGTCAGAACATGGCTCTTCTTCACCTTGTCTCTTCTTCTAGTTGGTGATGGAGTACTGCCTGGGCTCAGCCTCCGATCTGCTGGAGGGTAAGTAGCTGCTGCACGCTGCTCACAGAAAAGGATTATGGGAATTGATGTGTCTTCTTCAGCTGGTGTTGATTCCTGCTGAAACTGTTGTTTCTTCTTCTTCAGTTCATAAAAAACCTTTACAAGAAGTAGAGATCGCTGCCATCACACACGGTGCTCTGCAGGGGCTGGCCTACCTTCATTCCCACAATATGATCCACAGGTGAGGGATTTTTAACGATATTGTCTTTAAGAATTGTACAACACCAAATGTCCTGCTCTCTCACATGTGTGTGTTTTTCTCTCGTAGGGATGTGAAGGCAGGAAACATTCTGCTGACTGAGCCTGGGCTGGTCAAACTGGCCGACTTTGGCTCCGCCTCCATCGCCTCACCTGCAAACTCCTTTGTGGGAACGCCATATTGGTAAGTGAAAACTGAAGGTTTTTCATGTCTATGGTTTGAATGTGAACCTTACCAACATTTTTACTTGCACAATAACTTTAGGTTTCAGCTCAAAGAAGCACTAATTCAGGAAATGGATTGGTCGAATCTACCTTTATTTGCATAGTAAAAACCGTCCTGCTGATGAATTCAAATGATCTGTTCCTGTGATTTTGGAACTCAATATTATAACCTTTATTTAAAGGAAATGTTTTTTGTTTTTGTTTATGCTGCAGGATGGCCCCGGAGGTGATTCTAGCGATGGATGAAGGCCAGTATGATGGGAAGATTGACATCTGGTCCTTAGGGATCACCTGTATAGAGTTAGGTAGGTGGCAACAATTTGCCTTTTATCTTTTAAAATGGAATTCCATTGGAAAAAATATATTTCAACGGATTTAATTAAATTCCAATTGTTACTATGGCATGGCCTAACATCCGATCTTAATGGTTTGCTCTGATTCTTAACATAAAGTAATGTTATTTGACCAATATTTGTTTGATGGATTGGTTTGATTTAAATGTTGGTAAAATAGTAAGATTTATGCACTCAGCAGAATTACAGGTCTATATTGTATCAGTAGAAAAAGGCAAAACATATATCTGAAACCTTTAGTTACCGAAGTAGATGGACATTTAATTGAATAGGTAGGAATAAACACCGATTGATTTCATTTCCTTTTCAGCGGAGAGGAAGCCTCCCTTGTTTAACATGAATGCAATGAGTGCCTTATACCACATAGCGCAGAATGAGAGCCCCACTCTGCAATCCAGTGAATGGTAAGATGCCACACACACACACACACACACACACACACACACACACACACACTTTTGTAAAAGTGGGTCATTGACAGGGTAATTAAATGATCTTTCGCAAACATTTTTCCATGTTAGTTAGTAACACATATTTTACAGAATTATTATTATTTTTTTTAATAACTCGCATACACAACTAGTTTATAGATTATGAATTTAAAAGGTGACGGAGAGATCAGTTTTAATGTCAACACATGTGAATCAGATGAAGTATTTAATTTTACAAAATGACTTTTGCGTTTCTCTCTCTCTNTTGGACTACTAGTCATCTCGAACCGTTCGTTCAAAAAAGAAGGTGCGATACCGTTCCGATAAATATCACGAAGGAATTTCCCCCCGATGTTCGAAATTATTGATATTTATCGGAACGGTATCGCACCTTCTTTTTTGAACGAACGGTTCGAGATGACTAGTAGTCCAATTTTTCCTTGTACAACAGTTGTTGGGATGCTGTCACAGGCTCTTTAAGGCTCTAAGTAGTGGCTCACTCCTTCTATAGTTATTTCAACACATTACATGGGGGGGGTAACTGACTTTTTCCTTCACCTATCTAGATAGCTGTTAACACACAGTTATTAGGTTTACTCAACACTATAAGGATCATTTAATCCATTCAGAAGTTTCTCTAGGGTCAAAGGAACAACATAGGAAATGAGCGCTTCTCTCTTTTCAAAATTCTTGTCAGGCAATTGTGAACAACAAACACTTTAAGAGGCAATAACGATTCAGGAAAAGTAAACCCCCATGGACTGAAATACTGAATGAATTTTCCCAACTGCTGACGTCTGTGCCTATCTCTCCGTAGCAGCCAGCAGCTGCAGCACTACCTGTGTCATCTCTGACACAGGTAGTGACATTTATTCAGACTGTAATGAGGCTTCAGTGATTCAGTGTGTCTGTCTGCATGCGCTGGGCCCACTGCAGTGCTGCTGATTTAAAGGCTGTGACATCAGCAGAGTAGTGACGTCAGCTAAAGCAGCAACGTCACTGGAGGAACTATGGAGGAAAGAGAGGAGTGCATTATCCCGCTGTTTCTGGGCTATTATTACATACATGATTATTTTATCAGATGCAAAAAAAAAGTGTTATCATGATATATTTGTGCGATTGGTAAGGATTTAATATTGTTTGTTTTTTTACTCATTTATATTATGCTTGAAATTATAAATGTGTTCCCCCAAGACTCTCCAATGAATCATTTTTGTTTGTTGTCCAGCAGATTGATTATGCTGTAAACATTGAGCGTAATTCATGCTAGAATTCCCTGCTCATTGGACAGATGTATAGATAAAGCAAAGTGCTGAATAGCTGTGTGTCTAGGTAATGTTGTAATCACTAAGGTTACTGCCTGTGTGTTTGTATACGTGGAGACGTAAGAGCAACAGAGGAGTGTCCGGTGTCTGTCTGCCTTTAACAACCACATCCTGCCCTTCACTGCTTGTCATTGGACGGTGTGAATTTCAGGAGATACAATTAGAGAACAGTAAGATGGAACTTTAGAGACGGGTCGAACATCACAAACATGAAAATGTCGTTTGATTGACTGTTCGTCCGACACCTATAGTGCGTTACAACCAATGTAACAAATCTTTTTTTACATTAATGGGACTAACGCTGTACTGACCATTTTTTAAAGTTAATATTTTCTATTAACGTTTTCTCGAATTAACCTGCTGTGTTTTTAAAGGCTATGTCGAGGCATATTTTTCTAGAAGTTCTGTCTTTTAATGCATTTTGACATTTGGACATAACAAACCTCTGGTGTTAAAATAAATGTTTTAGATCACGCGAGTCAAGAAACAATCCTGCACAACCACAACTGTAATCTAATCCATCAAATAGTGTTATGTACTTATTATAGGTGTAGCCTAGTTATAATATTCTACTGTGCGGAAATATCGGGTTTAAATCTCATGACTTGACTTGCCATTCATTAAATTATGACATAATTAATGAAGCTACTAACAATTCAATACACACAAGACTAATTAAAGATGGAGATTAGGGGGATGGAAGTGATTTTGCGAGACGGAAGTCAGTCAGAAAAGGAAGTTAAATAAAATCATGACAAGAAAAATGGAGCCTGTAGTGGAACTTTGAGAGTTAAACAGGATTGGTTGATTTGGTACCTTTCAGATTAGGAAGCTGTTATCGGTGAGTAATGAAGGCCTCCTGATGCGTCCGTCTAACATGCACTTTGACACTGAATGTCCACTTAATGCTTGACATTATTGCTTCTTCATCTTGCTACTGAATCACATCCCCTGGCTGATTAATCATGGAGGGTCAAGGCTCATGCACACTTATGCAATATTACACCAGCCATAGAAGGATCTAACAGAAAAACAGCAGTGCAGTTGTTGTTTATCCTGTGATATAATTGGGCCGTCAGGTGGTTTCCACGCTTCTACCTCCAGTACTTTGTAATCAATCCCATTTTAAATTGAAACCACGAGGCATCAACAAGCAGCGTAACCAGGTCAAGTTTCTCCTCAGTTCAGGGGTCCTCTGATGTCTCCTTTTTGATTTCTCAATCTTTTTTTTGTTGTTGTTGTTTTGCTGTTGCGGGAAGCATCAGCACATTAAGGTGTCAGGTGTTCCTGAATTTCCGTAAAGGCTACAGACCTAGAGTTGGTTACACAATTTGGCCAGCTACTACACATGTGTGATCAGTGTATGACCAACACTCTCCAGAAGATGCCTTTCTATGTATGGAGAGTAAGTAATGCTTAATCAGGGGTTTGGTTCAAGTGTTGTCATATATGCTAAGTGTGTTGCTGTGTAAACTATATGAGAAAAGAGAAAACTTGACTCGATGTTATAAAAAAATGGCACTAGCCTACAACTAGTGAATATGTACTTTATAACTGCTGAGATAATGAAAACCATGCCGCCATGTTATGCCCCTGGTTCAATCCTGTCCAGGGACTTTTGTTCCCCTCTCTCCCTACCACCTGTTTCTCTACTGTGACCCTTCAAATAAAGCCACAAAACACTTTACAAATGGACAGTAGAGTAAATAATGTTAACCTTATATCAGAAGTTCTATATAGGGCCATAATACATGCTGAACCATACCTAAATTCAGTGTAGTGCCAGAATGATGTTCCATAGGAAGATTTTCTGGTGTTAAACACCCGCGCTGTACACTAAGCTTAATGCAAGGGGCATTTTTGAGCTGCCACTTCCGGTATGCGGTAGTATTTTCTCCTATGTGAGGAACTTTTGGGACTTAATGTTCACGGAACCAGGAAAATCTGTTATTATTTGAGCATGTCCAGGTTCCCTCGCCTTGAGGTCGACAGTTTCCTAAGAGATTCTGGTTTGATGCCTGTTTGATACAAGCTTGGGAAATGTTCAGGATTTACTTATTATACATGTAGTGAAGTCATGTGACTGATGTAGTTTGTTTATAGCATTTTGTTAGCTATTTACTTTTGTCGATTGGATTTTCCTGCTGAAAAATACCTGTTCGTATCATAAACCTGTGTTTGCCACATATCTTATTTTCAGCAATATTACAGTACAGCCAAATAAGCCAGTGGGAAAACCCTTTAGTTTTTTGGTCCAGTGAGCCCTTGCAATCATCACTGCACCACTTGATAGTTGGTAACATTATCTAATGAAATAGGCCGTAATTCAAGAGTTGTCTGTCTCGATTAAAGGCTTGTTTTTATCATGACTATAATGTTTCCACCGCTTTTCACTGTGGCACTAATACTCTGTCATACAGCCTTCGAAGGACGGCTGTTTTCCAGCGAATGGACCATGTGTGTCTCCTCCCCTTTTACCGCAGCCTGCTGCAGACCATGCTGCAGACCACAGTCAGTAGGCCTATCACGAGCAGATGTTAGGAGACACCTGCTCTGCAACAGCATGTGCTAAATTGTAAACATTGTCGCCGTTTTTGAATATTATATCACCGCGCTTTAAAAAAAACCCCTCCTGTTTCACGGATAATTGACTCAGTCCGGGGTGTCCTTTACATTCTAGACCTCAAGTTATCCAGAGTTTTTGCGTTTTAGCAAATATCCTGGCAGTGCGGAGTGGCCGCCTGCCTCCACAGCCACATCATAACGGCAGCTATCGATAGAAACAGCCCGCTTCTGTGCGCCCTTCCTCCGCCACCAGAGCAGCGATGCCTCCGGGTGTTATGTCCGCTCCACCGAGCTCTACTGCCGGCTGCTTCTGCGCGTGCTGCGGCGGGGAGATGAGACCTTATTTCACCGAGAACTCCGTGATCTCTCAGGGGGAAATTTATCAGCTGTAAGTTTACACTGTGCTCAGAGCCCCAGGTTTTCTGCGGAAAATAATATGAATTGCAGTAACATATTATTGTATTCTTATTAGTGAGATGCTGTACCAGAGTCTGATTTAGTAATTATAATATCAATAAGTGGTGGAACATTATTTTTGCTGACTTGAAACCCTAGTTGAACAGGGGGGGGGGGGGGGGGGGGCAGGGCATATTCTCCATATCCCCTGCTTTCCAATATTTTGTCACGGAGGATCTGACAAAGCTTTGTGGTTTTCCCATGATGAGTTAAAGGGAAGGAGTATGACCAGCAGTTCAGGGGCTGAAGAAGAGGTTTCCTTCCTCTGAAATGTCAGCCAGATGCAAATCTTCCTCTGTTCACACGCACTCTCCTTCACCCAGCTTTTAATTTTAATTTTAGATGTGAATAACACTGGTCCTTTTTAAGTATAGAATTCCTTTGTTGTGATGACCACAATTCGATGATATATGACTTCTTTAACAATGTGAGTGGAAGTGGTTTTAAGACTGTTTCTTTGAATATGTTGTCACAACAGATATGTGGATGTTTGCAATGTGTTCTATTATATAACGGTGAATCTGTTAATGGGATCACTTTTGAAGCGCTGTTGTAAAGGCATAGAGTATGCTTCATTTTGGACTTTTGTAATTTACTGCTGATTGCTCTGTTTCTCTCTGATCCTCAACTCATTCATGACCAAGAATGCGACTTCCTGTTTTTTATTGTCCTCTCTTAGCTTTCTGAACCTCATTGTATGATTGCCTTCCGTTTTGGAGTTGACGCATATGCTCTCAATCGTTTCATAACAAATTGAGGCTACACTTTGTTCTAAATTCAAGGACCAAAAGCTCTTGTTAATCCTTGCTTGTAAATTGTTGCTTGATTACATCTGGTGATATGAAGGAATCAAATGAAGCAATTTAAAAATGCAAAGGGATCATTGGGGCATCTTAAGTCTGTTACATTACTAGATTGGTTTCAGAGAGCAGTAGCACCAAGGTAGCTTTGCTGGAATAGGCCAATTTGTTATGCCAGTGTAATTGTTCATTTATGAGCGTTTAAAGTGGCTAAAGGTCTCAGCCACAGCAGTTAAGTTGTACATTGCTAAAAGATTACAATGATAACAACTGTGTCGTGAAGAACAGTTTTTGGTTATTTTTACTCTACGGACATTATGGGCCTCCTGATGTTTTTACCATGTCTCCGGCCAGTAAAGCCAGCTATGTTATGTGGACAGTGTGTTGTAAAACTGCACACGTGAAGGATCTTTGAAACTTCAATGAAGGCACGAACACTCCCCGTGATTGTAAAACTGTAAAGCCCTAGATAGATAAGCTGATAGATTATGTACTCGAGAATGATGTGAGTGTGCATTTTTCTCATAGGAGAAGACAGCCCTGGACTATAAATCGTCATTCCAAGAATATTAACCCGAAGATTATTAATATACGACACACACTATTTTTCAACAAATAAAATCCTAATGAATATTCAGCTGGTTTTTCTCTCCCTGACTAATAGTCCTAATGGAAAAATGCACCAAGGCACTAACCGGCATAAATATTGAGCTTTATGATAAAGGACTCGCAACATAATCTTATATTGTGTGTACACATGTATCGGAAGTCTTTGAAGAACTGAGGAGGCGATACAATTGAAAAGCTGAGGATATGGGGAAATGTGTGATTTAACTTGATTAAAAGGTTTAAATTGTCAATTTCTTATAAAAAGAAGTGCGCTGTTGCTATTAACTTTTCGTTGATGGACTAAATGCATTATTTCCACTAAGCGTTTCATCTTCCCTCTTAAAAAGGGAAAAACATCCTTTCCATGATTAATCTTGAACTATTTGGGTGGTTCTCATCACTTTATTTGTTTTCTCTTTGGCTGTCTAGCATTAGTGAAAGTTTTCCTGACAGTTAAAGGGGCTGACTCTCTTCTTACCTCGAGGAAAATGGCTCCTCTCCTTCGTCTGCCTCTCGCTTCTCACAGCTGCGAGGCAAACATGACAGGTGAGATTGTGACAATTGGACTGTTTGACTCCAATAGAGCTGGTACGGTTAAAATGTGCCCATTATGGATAGACTGAACTTCTTGATACTGACTCAAAGATTTGTTTTTATTTTACGTCACATCTTACCAGGATGACATCCAACAGCATCTGCAAACCATGTTCACTCTCCTCAGCCAGAGGACAACATCAAACCCTGGTGATTGGGGTAACACTCCAGTAGTTAAAACTATGAGTAATGTCGCTGAGGAGGTGGCGAATCACCTGTAAAGACTTCACAAACTGTTCCTTCCTGCTCTAGGCGGTGCGCGTTTGGAGAGCGCACACACTCAGATCCACCCGCTACATGGTGGTGTCTCACCAATGGTCGTCAAGACACAGAGGAGAGTGTGGGTGCTGGGGGAATGGATTTCAGTCCTGTAGATAGGTGAGACAGGAACACCAACAACCATTCATACTACCTCCATGTTGTGCATTAAGTTACTTAACCCTTTTTTTTTTGGGGGGGGAGCAGATTTATTTTCCTCCAGGTTCATGTTCTGTAGGGATGGTTTTGGCCCTTGTGGACGAACACATTCAATACATCTGGTATGGAGATGGGTAAGGAAACATCCAACCGGTTTACATCACATAGATTAACACACAAATTACAACCATGACTGCTTAGGAATGGCTGAACTGGCGGTTATTTGTGTGAGGTGTTCACTCCCTTCTTCCTCTTCTTTCTCCCAGGGGGTTCAGTGTGTCAACTGATCAACACAGTGCACGTGTTTCAACTGCCATGCGTTTGTGGGCAGGACGCGAGACCATAGCTGTGGTGAGTCACACAGACAGTCGATATCATAGGTTCTGCTTTATTACGTGCGAGTTTTCAGGTAGATATTTTAAGCCTGTCCCTTCTATTTATTTGAAGTGTCATGTGTCTCTCTCCCGGTTCATCTCCTGGTCATTCGTAAATATAGTCATTTCCCTCGCGAATTACTTAATCGGCTGGGTCGGGCCCCGCACGCGGAGGAGAAAGGAGCCCACGAACCCTCCCCCGGGTCGCCTCACGGCCAGCCCTTCGCGACGTGCCTGATCTCCATAAGCTCTCTCTTTTCCTTTGCGAGGTGGCTCGTTGTCACAACTACTTCCCAGGTAGCTTGTCCTCACCTGGGTCTGGCACCTTCACTATCAAAGCAGTCGGCTGTACTCGGGGACCCAGGCCGCATCCAGACCGAGTGAACGCCATGCAGGATGTGCAGTCGCACCGTGCAGACTTCTACCCGTCCTCTTCTCCGACGCGTAAGTATCTCAGATCATATGAATATATTTTTTTGGCACATGTACTATGATAGTAAGTTCAGCAAGTGCCAAACCTTCCATATACCGGCCTGTATGTGTGCATCAAACACTTCATAAAGGAAAAGGACCTTACTCCATTTATTCATGTATTTTAATGTCATGGTGTTTCTGCAGACCCACGGAAAGAGAGCTGCACTGAGGCGTCAGATCAAAAACAGTTTGAGGGAGATCATTCGATGCAGTAAAGATCTGAGAATGTTCAGCTTCAGCAATTAGAGGTGGTGCGCAGCGTATAGAATGGCTGTCGCATTTGAAGATGCTCCNACCAGACCACAATGAGTATCTCTCTTTCACAGGCAATGAGAAATGGGTGGAGCTTGCATAATTCCTGGTCACTTGATCACAACTATAAGGCGTTGCCTGGTTACAGGGGGTGGTTCAACTTACCCACTGGCTCAATTTACCCCCTTCTCCCCTAAGTGTTGACAATATCTAGCCTTTAACACATCAATCTGAAACAAGGTCATCAAACCACCTGAAACATGTTTTTCTTTTGTCTGTTTTTTGGTCTCCACAAACTCCTAAATATAAGTGTGTTTGCCACATATTTCACTTTATCACTTACTTTGTGTTGCTACACTAAGCTAACAGTTAGCTTCTGGTTTGGGTAAGTTTGCAACTTTAGGGAACACTGGGTTTAACTCTGTGATAACCAAAACCAGTTTATTGCTCCAAACTCTGATGTTGAAAATAAACGACACTGCAGGATAATATAGAGTCAATTGATTGAGTGTTTGTAGAAACCTAGATTATTGCAGCTTTCATTATTTGCCCTAACACCACTACGATTAGACAAAGAGACCCCTGAGTCACTTTGGTGGACAGAGAATTAGCGTAAAAACAGATGTCGACATTTCCCACTTTGTCCACAACCACCAGCTCCACATTAGGCGAACAACAAGAAGCATTGTAGGAAACCAGTGTTATTTTTTCATTTCCAGCAGCCAGGCTAGTGTTCAAAGTCCCGTTGCCCTGTCTGAGAGTAACACTGTCAACACCTGAGCCTCCTTCCCCATCAGTCACCTGGACAGAGAGCTCCCACATCAACGAGCTGCAGGAATCAGAGCAGTTGTACTGCAGGCTCAGCAGCGTACACACCGGCGGAGCGAAATCAGTCACCTATTGGAAGAAAATGATTGATTAAGTGAGTTTTACATCAGCGAGTTCATCAAGAGGAGGAAGAAGGTAATGATGTAATTCATTCAGTTTTCTAGCAATGGAATATAAGTAAGTACATGTTCTCAAGTATAGTATACATTTGTATCTAACGCAATTATTTACATTTGCTAAGTCAAGAGCAGGTCAGCTGATTATTATTCAACGAATTGTTGAAGTGATCCGTGATTTTTGTGCCTTAGGCTTCCATACAATGACTATGGATGGCATTTTTATGGCATAGTATAACATGACATTTGACATGAAATCCTATCCTACCTTTGTAAATGAAGATCAGGTCAGCTGAACATGCAAACATTTAAATATGCCTACAGGCATTCAGCGAAGGAAAAAGCTCAAATAATAAATTAATATTTACACAGGTTTAACATATTTCAAGAAATTCATGTTTTTCCAGTAATAAATAACACATACGGAAGTTCTCTCCCGATAATCACAGACCAAACATATTTGTATGAGTAAAAGTGACTCTTCAGTGTGGGAGTTTTACCGTGTTAAAGACAGAGAAACGCATCACCACATAGTTTGTGTCTTGGCCCCCCGGAGCCTCGGCCTCGATGGTCAGGGTGACGTCGGTCCCAGAGGGGGTGTTCAGAGGAGCGGAGAGGGTCACCGTGTCGTTGGCTCTGTTTCCAGCTTCCAGGAACAAACTGGTTGGAGACGCTAAGTCAAAACCTCGGTTGTTAGTGGCTCGGATGGAAATGTTTCCCTCTATTTCGTGGCTCATCACTGAGAAGGGCACAGAGAAAGGGGTTCCTGGTTCCAGGATGCTACTTGAATCAGCCTGAAGACAGAGGGAGTCAGACAACCGTCAGGTTTTGTAGCAATGATTAAAGTGGACATTTAAATGAAGGCTTGGGGAGTAACGAATGACATGTAACGAGATTAAGTAATCAGGATACAAAGAGTAGGAACTGTCATCAATTACAAAAAAATCAAGTAAACAGATGACTGTTACATTTTCTTTTATTGAGATTACTAGCAGAATTACAGTGTGACATTAAGAAATAAAGATACGTATATAATAGGTAGACAAACTGAGTGAATTTTCTTTTTGGCTTTAATTTTGTCTACTTTCATTCTTTTAATATATTATGTTTTTAAATGCAGTAGACAAAAAAAAACTGTGTATATTTTTAATTAAAGCTTTAAACTAAAACAGCATTTGTTAACTTAAGTATGATGTAGGCCTTGCCTTAATTTAAGATGACACATTGATCTGTTGTATTACATTATACACTCCATACATAAAAAACATCTGACTGATATTTTTTTACCTTTGTTTTGATTTGCTTTGCATTTCATATTAAGGTAATCCAAAAGTAACAGGTTACATTACTTTTATATTATGCAACTTAGATTAGGTTACTCATAAAACATGTTGACATGTAACTAGTTATTGTGACGGTTTACATTTTTAAAGTAACCCTCCCAACCCTGTTTACATGTTTAGTTCCACCTCCTCTCATGTGTGGTGTTTGTGTGACAGTGTTGGTCTGGGATGGGTACTCACAGTGATCGTCAGATTAGAGGCTCTGAAGTTGGTTGATGACTGCCTTATGAAGACTGTTGGTCCATTATTCCCTTTAACCCGCACCACAAATTCCTCTGATGGGATCCTGTCGACAAGAACTAAGAAGTTCCCGCTCCCCTGCGACTCCACGACGCCTTTAATCTCCCCCGACCCCGACGATTCAACCAGAGCAACTTCTGTCACCGTGGCAGAGTCACTCCCCGTTAAAGACACCAACAAGCTACCGTTGACACCTTTTTTAAAACAAAAATGAAATATATCATGTTTGAATTGTTAAAATGTTATTTTATATCTGCATATCTTCAAAGTTACATCCTAACAGTTTCCTTTACCCGCTCTGGGACGTGTGTCAAGAGCATCATATCCTGGGAACGGGCCCCGAGAGGCCTCCACAAAGTCAAACAGGAAGTCAAAGGGACTCTGACCTGCAAATCAAAAGTTGTGAGAAAAAAGGATTAGTGTACATACACAGAGTTTCTTTTAAAAAAAACTTTAAAGCTAAAGCACGATACTTGAGTTTTCAATCTGTATTCCAAAGTATATGGATTACCACGACTACCACAAAACCATCTTAAATGTACCAATAATTGACAGATAACATTTAGGATGATTTTGTCCTCATGTATGAACTCAAAGCTTTGTGTTGAGCTATACTTTAATATTCTGCCTTTAATCTTTGTTCATCTGACAAGGGGTTCAAATATAAACTGGAAATTAGAATATGGATGGGAAACCCAGTTATTATGCTTTGCCTTTATGAGAGTCTAAAGTGATGCCAGCTGTTCTGTGAGGCTGTACTTAGGCAGGTGTTTTGATCTAAATGCTAGCCTCAGCATGCTAACATGCTCACATTGACAATGATAACATGTTTGTTAAGGTACTAATTGAATAGCACTTACAAAATGCAGCTGAGGTTTAAGGTAATGTGTTCAGTTAACACATTAAATATAGCTGGAAGTCTCACCTATGACCTTCAGAGTGTACGGATTAGTCGACACCATATTCATTGTCCACAGTCCGACTTGTTTATCAAGCTGCAGAGTCTGGAAGTTTCCGACTAACTGGGATGTAATGATCAATGATCCTTTTGAGTTTGTGCTTTGCTCAGATTCACCTTCAAAGAAAAAACGCCAACAAGCAGGAAGAAAACAGTTACAATCATTTTCAATTTTTGTTGCTTTTATTGCAACATTTTTGCAAAGACCAATTTCTCTTTTTTTGCACATCATTTGGATTTTGACTGCAAACACATGGTTGATTAAGCTACTTTACAACATGTTAGCATGATCTCCTCAGGTCATACTATAATATGACTTTTTAATGTAAAAAAGTACATAAAGCAATTAATCAAAATACATCTAAACCAGCAGGTTTTGTTAAACTGGATAGCGGATGGTAGAGTGTGTGGTTGTTCTGAAATTACATCGCAAGACTTAAAATGCACTATGACTTACTGATGATGAAATGCTGCACATAATGTGTTGAGTGTTATCATAAAGAGTGTGACAGTTATTACCTGTGGGGCTGGTGAGAGTGAAACTGATGGAGCGTCCAGTAATGTAAACTATAGGGTTCATTATTGTTTCATCAACCATAAAGGAGAACGTATCGCTGCTGCCTGGGTTCCTGGCTGCCTGCAGTAGGGTCACCTGAGAAATAAACATTCAAGATGACACATCGGGAAGTCTCTGAAGTGAACGCTTAAAGGTCCCCTATTATACTGTTTTTCATCAATATATTATAGGTCTCAGATATATACAAAACATGTCTCTGAAGTGTTTGGCTCGAATTACCAAACAATTCATTGTAGCATCCATAATCCCTCTGCTGTCAGCCCTGTTTCAAAAGGCGTGATTCTGGTCTGTACTTTAGAAGAAAATAAGGAGCCCCTTCCCCACCGCCCTCTGAAGAGATATTGTAAAAATACACAATTGTGCTCTAGGAGGAGATTCAGGTGATGGGGGGGGGGGGGGGGTACTTTGGTTGTGATTGGGCTAGTGGTTACGCCGATGACAGTGCTTGTTATGCCCTGAAGTCGACCAACTGATCTCTATTGACCTACGACATCTGATCAGACATTTCAGACAGGTTGTTGGTGTTATACAGTCTCTGCTCAGAATGTATCACCTCCTCGACCTGTAGGCCTGTTCGTTGTGTCCCTGAATGTTATTTTCAAGAATCCTTTACCAGAGGGGGGACACATGTTTATGTATACAAAGACACGGAAAAAGTGATTTGCATAGTAGGTGAACTTTGTGAGATTTACCAGAGAGGCGCTGGAGGACTGTGTATGATGCTGCGTGGCCACAGGGAGCCTCTCTTTGGTGACTCAAGCCAGCAGACCTCTGAGGCCTGAGCCACCAGGTCCCCTGTACAGCTTCAGCTCTGACTCCGGAGATTCCTGTTCAGTTCCCCTTCACTACGTCCTTTACGGTTCAGCACTGTCCGAGCCAGAAATCATGAAGTATCCCTGATAGGAAAAAAATCAGGGAAGTAACAAATCAGAGTCCAAGAAGCAGCCCATTAATCCTGACAGAAAAAGGAACTACAAATAATGAATATCCTGCCAATTGACCTATCATGTCGAGTCTAAAGATGCCATTACACTGGATGTTCCATTACTTCCAGACCAGAGCCTATAAAAATGTTTCAGTTTTGCGAATCTAAGACCAAGAAACCATCAATACTTAGACCTGCAAAGCCTGGGACCAGATAATTCTCTTAAAAATACTGAAAACAATTGATAAATGTCACTTGTATGGGCTTTTATCCAAGCTTACGTTACATACATTCATACTGTGCGACAATCCCCACAGGAGCATTTGGGTGAAGCGTCTTGCCCAGGGGACACAATGACTTGGCTTGGACTGCAGTGGGGTTTGATCTGTGACCCCCCTGATTCGAAGTCCAGCAACCTCTAGTCACTTAGCCACGCCGCCCACGCCGGCCACCTCAGCATGATTGGCACCCCCCACCCCCCCCTGCCCCCCACGCATCCCGATTCCTGCTCCGCTCGGGCGCCACGCGTCGAAGCCGTCACAATGCGCGATGAAGCAGCC